ATGTAAATGCACAAAAAGCATATTTTCGAGAGGTTGGCAATGTGTGTGGGTTCAGATCTTGCGACCAGTATTCAACTTAGCAACCGCAGAAGCTAGAAAACTGAAATTTTACGAGAGTATTAGTTACCTCCATATCATTCAAACGCTTAAAACCAACGTTTACGTATTTCTAGGCTTCGTACAGTTGTCTAAAAAAACATAGTTTTTTGACGGGCAAATGATTCCGGGAGCTAGATGAGACAAGAAACTGAAAATTCACATGGATATTCTGTACCCATTTGAGCAAAAAATTTCAAACTTAGCTGTTACGTACGCGTAAGGACATATTAAAGTTAAAATGGAGACACTTTTGGCAGCGCGCCAGCTCGGGAAGCAGGCTAATTAATAGTATCTTAAATTTCTAAGACTGACTGTAAATCTGCAAGGTACACGCCAAATAGCAATGCCCTAAAATTGCAAGATATGTGCTGTCCATAAGCGAGCAAGTAAACATAAAATATGCTTGCTTACAACCATTTGGCGCATTTGGACATGTCAAAGATATCTGTAAGGAAAAGCGATTTCGCCAGTTAAGCTAATGCTATTCATGTGGGAGCCACTAAGTGTGAAATAAATATGTGCTGTGCGTATGGGCGCATCAGATGTTCAAATTATAACACTGCATTTACACTCCAGTAATACAGGCGATATTTGTGCAGAATGGAATCGTAAAAAAACGCATGGTCACACCAGCAAGCAGGTGCTTCGCTACCTGGATTTAAAACTTTCCGTTAGATATTTGTTGGGTTCCCTGGCCCGGACGCTCCAGTCAACTGGCGAAGTGCTGCGGCCTGTCAATTCGGGTCGTCGGCTCCTCGGCAATTACTTGCGGTAGCAACGGGGTCCTCATCCTCCCCCTTCGCAAATCGTCCTGGTCGGCACACTTCACGGGATAGGCACTAGTTGATCGACGCTCCTCGATGGGATTGACACTGGTCCAGATAAACACTACGCTACATACAATACTGACCTACAACACAAATTCGACGGCCTTGTATAGGCCGCTTTCGTGCCAATGCACAACCTATCTAGGAAGGGATCATGATGCAACATATCCCTCCAGCTACAGAGATCGCCTCTGGTCTTTCTAGCCAATATATAATGCTCAAATTTAAACTTGTTAATCACAGCTAGAACGAAAAACAAGCAGACTTCAAACAAGTATTTTTTTTCTCACATGCTTGTCAAGGCCAATCGCCATGTCCATATTACCATTCGCGCGTCATTCGTCTCCGAATATACAGCGGTCGGACTCGTCTCTGTTGTGGTTGGTTGCGATTTGGCCACCGACAAATCCTCATATGCGTCCTTTTGTTATGCTGACGTTGCTCCGCTCTCATCGGCCTCGATACTACAGATCGTTCCATACTGCTCCGCGTTCCTGTTCGGTGCATTATCGTTTGTGCGCCTCGACTCGGCTTTCCATTGAGGCACTGTATAAATACAGCAAACCTGAAATTAATTTTTCCGCGCGTGCTGGCGTTATTAGTCCTTGGCGGCTGCAACTAGCTAAAGCAGTCTTTGGTTTGATGAGCATACTGGTATCCCGATCATTTGTTACTGAAATTTTTATATCTGAGCATCGTCTTGAACCAGTCCTTCCTGTACTCCCTTTTTCATCGGTTCTATCATACCGAAGCTACCCTGGTTTTCCGATTTTGTGCATCGGCGGAATCACTGTATGATTTCTGCATTGTACAGTCCTGGGATTTTTCGGCTCGTTCTTCGCAATTCTCATCATTTCTTTTCGCCATTTCTTGTACGCACCAAGCGCATTCATTCGCAGTGTTAATGATTCTCCTCCAGTCCCTGGCTCCACGAATACATGCACAGGCCTACATACTTTCCCTACGGCTATGTTAA